TGAGACTTGATGAGGATACGAGTAGAGATTATGATGAGAATAAGCTGTGTCAAGCATGCATCACACCAATCTATTTTGGTAACTTCTACTCTTGTATGCAATGTGATTACATACTGCATGAAACATGTGCAAATCTTTCTCGTAAAATACATCATCCGATACATCCACATCGGCTAACTCTAGTGGGAGGAGATGACAATGTTATGGACAAGTGCTATGTGAGTTATAGTAAGCATTTATGTTCAGCTTGTTCTTGGATGTGCACAACTGGTTTCTTCTATGAGTGCAGTGAAGAAGGATGTGATTTTAAGCTAAACGTGCAGTGCGCCACAATTTCAGAGCCATTGGTCCATGAAAGTCATATGCATCCTTTATTCCTAACATCCAAACCAGGAGAGGGAAGACGAGAATGTTGGGTTTGCAAAGACTCTGGACGTGTCTCCACAAATGAAACATTCAACTGCATTGATTGTGACTTTGCTTTGTGCTTCGCATGTGCTACTTTGCCTCAAAAGGTGAGGTATAAGCATGATAAGCATATGCTCACTCTTTCTTATGGAGAGGAGGTAAGTACCATGATTTATTGGTGTGAAGCTTGCGAGAAGAAAATAGACCCACAAAAGCGGTTTTATAAGTGTGATGAGTATTGTTGTGTCACCCTAGACATTCAATGTTTGATTGGGAAGGACTTATACATGAAGCCCGGCTCATCGTATAACTTTGTTGCTAAGGTAAGTGTCCTGCCCAACAATCATCATATGTCTCGACCTGTTTGCTACAGATGTAAGATGCGTTGTGCATACAAATTAGTTTTCGAGTGTTATGAATGCATATTTTGTTCTTTTCATTGTTTACATAAAAAGTGGAATTATGTTTAGAGAGAACCAAATAGCTTGATGGTTATTGCTCTTATTGTAAGAAATATTATTGAATGTGTGTTGTGGTGTATTGCTTCTTAGTCAAAAATTGATTTGTCCATTATTGTTATGAGATATTTACATATAAAGTTTACTCAAAAACCTGTTTTGCTTTGTATCAGTGGTGATTCTTGAACTAGTTTTTATAAGAGTTAACTAGGTAAATCACAAAGCTGAATTAATTCCGTGCTACAAATTTTGTGAGTTACCCATAGGCACGAAACTGATATAAAGTCTGGTGAATATTTTAAAAAACTGGTTGTGGCAATATAACCAAACAACATAATCTCATACAAACCAAACCAAAACCTTAGCGCATCCGCTACACATACACTGCACACACAAACAAACCAATTCAAACCTCACTACACATAAGAACTTCTTTTGCAAAAAAAAACATATGAACTTTGTTATACCATGTGTCTACAAGGAAGAATAACTGTATCGCGTTTTTGGGACAAGCAACGCATTCTTTTCCCGGATCACTTGCATCTTCTTCATCGGAACCATCAACCGTAAACCCATAAATCTCCTGCAACCCATATCTCATCCCCTTCACCCATAGTATTTGCTTCAGAGCTCTTATCTGAATCTCCCCTTTCTCCTTCACATACACAGCTTGACTAATCTGCGCATTCGCATAGCCAACCACTGGAGCTGCCTCTGCCTTAACCGCCAGCGGATAAACATTTAGTTTCGTCTCCTCGAATAGCTCGGAATCCTCGATAAGTCAATACCTGTTCCAGATGGTTGTATGAACTTCTGACCAAGTCCTTTATCGAAATCAAATGTTATTGAAGGCAAAGTATCTTCTTTTGTTGCTATAAGATTGCATTCTTCGCACTCTTCCGCCAAGAAAACTATCGTGATCCTGCTCTCTCCCCCAAAAACAACAAAAGGTAAGTCATTTATGGACAAGATTCAAACTTTTAACTAAATTTGCTCTGTTTTTGAAACAGAAAACAAACCTTCCGGGGAAGGTTGCATCAAACGTGAAGGAGACGAGAACTCGAGCCGGATTAACCGGGTCTGGTTCGAGTCTTCTTTCTCAGATTAACGTCGTTGTGTATCGTGACGGCTTTCTGGTTATCGATGTAAGGAAGTGGGATCATCGGGAAACTCCAGTCGGCGATCGTACGGCGGCGCCGGTATAGTTTTCAGCGGAGAAGTAAAGTGACCTGGATGCTGGGGAGGATTGTGAAGATAGCGGTGGCGATCGTACTTTGGCGCCGGTATAGTTCCCGGCGGAGGAGGACAGTGACCTGGATACTGGTAAAATTGGTTCGGGTTTGGGTTTGGATACGGCGCGCGGCGGCGAATATGAGT